AACTCAAGTGTTTAATGGATGACGCTGCCCTCAGACTCTAGCTGTTGGAAAGAACCATGATGAATGACAGGGATCAAAAAACACAACTCCTGCCGGGCGTTGGTGGCACACGTCTTTAATCCCAGCACTCAGAGGCAGAGGCAGGCGGACCTCTGTGAGTTTGAGGCCAGCCTGGTTTAGACAGCGAGTTCCAGGACAGCCTCCAAAACAACACAGAGAAACCCTGTCTCGAAAAAACAAAACAAAACAAAAAACCCCACACAACTCCTGAGAGTGACTGGCCACCTGTGAGGGCCAGCATCTACTTGAGGGTGAGCATGTTTGCAAATTACTTGGATTCAGAGTCTACAAAGTCTACGGTCAGTCATCTTGGTCCTCCGGAAATGTTCAAACCCTGAGTCTCCGTCACTGTCTCACTCCAAAACCTGTTAATGAGGAATCACTTGGGGATCTTCCCATCCTGATGGGAGAGGCTTGGGTGAGGGACTGCAAGGCAAAAATGACTTCCTGAAAAGAAAAATAAGTAAAAAGAGCCACCCCCTGATGTTCAGGCCAACTGCCTGCTGTGTAGGGAAAGATTCCCCATAGGAAGAGCATGAGATAGATGTGTTCACAGGTTCCAACACCTCAGAAACATCACATACTGAAATGAAGATGATCTCTCTCTCTCCCCCCCACCAGAGGTCTCACACAGATCTTGGTCAGTGGTAAACTAGGTGGATCCAAGACACCAACACTGCTTGAGTATTTGATTTCCAGTAAGTGAAACTATTTGGTAAGGATTTGGAGGTGCGGCCTTATTGGAGGAGTTAAGTCACTGAGAGTAGGCCTTGAGGTTTCAATAGACTCCTGCCATTCCCAGTCTCTCTGTATCTGTCCTTGTCTGTCTGTCCTTTCTACTTTTAGGTAAGACGTGAGCTCTCAGCTATTCCTGCTTCCATGCTTTCACCCTGCCTTCATGGACTCGAACCCTCTGAAGCTGTAAGCCCAATTAAACCCTTTCTTGCCTTGGTCATGGTGTTTTGTCTCACAGTAGAAAAGTAGCTAAGATACCATGTGACCGCATCTCAGTGACCTGGCTCTGAGCACACACAGCCCAGCCCTCAAGCATGCGACTTAGCCACGGTCCCATCAACAAGCTCACACACACAAATGCAAACAACTCAGCACATTTTTGCATGAGTCTTTCTCTAGTATGGTCTCCATCTGCCAGATGCCGGCGTAGCCTGTAAGAATGGTAGAGCTTGGTTATATCTGTTCTTCTGTTTCAGCCTATCTCGTAAATGTGTTTTAGAATTGCCTCTTCAGAGTGAGAATAGAGTCGACCCCTGGGTGGAGACGTGGTTATTGTCTCCTCCTTTGGGTGCTAATCCAGATGGGCATGTCAAAGAGTCTCTAAGATCACTTACTGGGAAGGGCTCCTCATCTTTTAAGATACCTAGTGGGTATGTTTTAATATCCAGAAGATTTAAAATCAAGGATGAAATATTTAAAAGAACCAAACACAGCACTGACAGGACTTAAGAAAGACTCATACTTGATGCCTTAAGTATTTGCAGTATGCAGTATTTAAGGGAATGCAGGGTTGAGTGCATAGTGTTGGTCCAAAGTGCCCGCCCACCATGGCAGTGCTGGTGACAGTGTCATAAACAGAAGGACTTTGGCCAGGTAAACAGGATTAGTAGAAACTTCCCTTAAAATACTCCCGAAAGATCAACTACCTTGAGTAAGGGCGGTTGAGTAAGGGCATCTAGCTCCTGGTCAATCCAAATAGCCTCTGTCAACTGAAAGACCCAGTTGACTGTTCTATAAAATCTGCTTGCTTCTCTGACATTTTGCTCCTTTCTGCCCCCCTCACACCCCAGAATTAGCTTTGGCAGTTTGATCCCCAATAAGCTGTTCTTTCTATACCCATGGAATGTTCTAGCTCAGTGATTTCACAGTGCCCTAGCTTACACATAACTCTAGGAGAGACTATTTCCATGTCATGTGCTAAGAGCTGCTAGGGAGAATAGCTGTTACGGTAACAAATTAGACTCATGATTCTAGTGTAAAAGCTACATGATTTGAAGTGGAATTTTCTTTTTAGATTAGTTTTGAGATAGTTAGGAAAACACAGGATTTAATTACTTTTATAAGTTGTTGTGTTTGTATGACTTTTAGGAATACAGTGGTTTCATTGGTTAGCTTTCATTGAATAACTTAATAAGGTCATGTAATATATTACTTGTAAAATATATTAACTTATAAAATGTATTTGGGGTGCCAGGAGACTAGTCAGTGAGTAAAGGTACTTGCTACCTGTTGCATGAATTCTTTGTTTTTTTTTTTTTTGGGAGACAGGGTTTCTCTGTACTGTTTTGAAGGCTGTCCTGGAACTCATTCTTTAGACCAGGCTGGCCTCGAACTCACAGAGATCCGCCTGCCTCTGCCTCCAGGGTGCTGGGATTAAAGGCGTGTGCCACCAACGCCCGGCCTGTTGCACGAACTCTAATTGGTCTTGAAAATAAAAACCCTGAGTAGGATGTCAGGGGGTGAAAGCTGAAGGATCGGAGGAGCAGATCGGCCAGCCACTAGAGTTCTTACCTCTACCAATGCTTACACCAAAAGGGCAGTCCTGTCCCTACGAATCGTCTTGAGCTCCGGTCTCCCTGCACCTTATATTCCTTTCTCCTCCCAGCCATATAACTCCTGTCTCCACTTCCCTAGTGCTGGGATTAAAGGTGTGTGCCACCACTGCCTGGCCTCTATGGCTAACTAGTTAGTAGCTTAGCTCCAAACTGATCTTCAGGCAAGCTTTATTTGTTGCAGCATAAACAAATATCACCACAGCCACCAAAGCCTGAGTTTGATTCCCCTAGAACCCATATTGGAAAAAAATAAAACAAAACGGATGTGGTGGCGTCCATTATCTGAGCATGCCTACTGTAAAACCGGAGGCAGCAGACAGAATTGTTAAAGGATTGAAGTCCATGTTCTGTTGCTGTGAAGAGACACCATGGCCAAGGCAACTCTTACGAAAGAAATGGTTTAAATGGGGGCTTGCTTACCGTTTCAGAGGTTTGGTCCATCATCATTATAGTGGGGAGCGTGGTGGCGTGAATGGCTGGGGCAGCAGCTGAGAGCTACATCCTGAACTTCCAGTAGAGAGAGAGACTGGGCCTGACACAGCTTTTGAAACCTCAAAGCCCATCCCCAGTGACACACCTCCTCCAACAAGGCCACGCTCCTAATGTTACTTCCTGGGTAAATTTCCTCCCTTAATTTGGTTGTCCACAGTCTATTTTGTTTATTCTGAGCTGGTCAACAAGAATCCTATTTGAGGGGCTGGAGAGCTGGCTTAGCAGTTAGGAGACCTGACTGCTCTTCCAGACCCAGGTTCAATTCCCAGCACCCACATGGCAGCTCACAACTGTCTGTAACTCCAAGATTTGACACAGTCACACAGATACACATGCAGACAAAATGCCAAAGCACATAAAATAAAAATAAATTATAAAAAATAAAGAATCTTATTTTATTAAATACCTTTTTGATCCACTTTCAATATATTTGGTTAGTGCTGGAGAGATGGCTCAAAGGTTAAGAGCACTGACTGCTGTTCCAGAGGTCTTAAGTTCAATTCCCAACAACCACATGGTGGCTCACAACCATCTGTAAAGAGATTTGGTGCCCTCTTCTGGCATGCAGGAACACATGGAGGCAGAATGTTGTACACATAATAAGTAAATCTTTAAAAAAAATGAACTTAGACTTTAAAAAAAATTGGTTTAAGGCAGTGGTTCTCAACCTTCCTAATGCTGCGACCCTTTAATACAGTTCCTCATGTTGTGGTGACCCCAACCATAAAACTATTTTGTTGCTACTTCATAACTGTAATTTTGCTACTGTTATGAGTCATAAATACCTGTATGGAATCCCAAAGGGTCTCGACCCTTTGGTTGACAACCACTGACTTAAAGCATCTAGTCTGACTGCTTTAAAAGCATTTTAGTCTAGGCATTTGGTTTGATTTCTTTGCTTGCTTTTAGATCTCTGAAGTCATTTTGGATTCTGACTGCTCAGCTAGCTTTCAGTATTTTGTTCATTTTTGGAACTTTGAAGTCATTTTAGTTTGCTTTGGCTGGGCGGCGGCAGCGCATGCCTTTAATCCCAGCACTCGGGAGGCAGAGGCAGGAGGATCTCTGTGAGTTCGAGACCAGCCTGGACTACCAAGCGAGTTCTAGGACAGCCTCCAAAACAATACAGAGAAACCCTGTCTGGAAAAACTGAAAGAAAAAAAAGGAAAAGTTTGCTTTGCTATCACTTGGCCCGACACTCCTCTGTCTGCATAACTCTGCATTTTTTCTGCTGTTTTTCCTGTGACCCTGCAAAGGCCCTGAAGATGACAGACACTTGTTTCCTCCCACACAAGGTGTGGCGGTGTCTGGGGAAACATCCCAACAAGCACACCCAGTTCCTGGGTCAGAAGGAACTTTACTGGCTTACCTAGGAGCATACATGAGGGATCAGTTCGGCCAGTGTCTTGAGTCCCCTCACGTTTGAGTAAGATGCAAGGTAACCCAGAGACCCAGTAGGGAAAATACTCTCAGGGAAAAAGCTGAGAAATTCGATACATACATATGTACAGGGAACCGTGTGTGTGTGTGTGTGTGTGTGTGTGTGTGTGTGTGTGTGTGTGTGTAAAAGAGAGAGAGAGAGAGAGAGAGAGAGAGAGAGAGAGAGAGAGAGAGAGAGAGAGAGAGAGAGAGAGACAGCAAAATTTCCAAAAGGAGGATATGCTTATAGATAAAATGCCATCAGGTACCCTAGCTGGCTTGTAAGTACCTCCTAGCTTCTGGCTGCTGGGATTAAAGGTGTGTGCCTGGTTTCTATGACTTGTGGCCGACTTCGCTTTCTGAATCCTCAGTCAAACTTTAATAAATCATAAATAATATATCACCACTTGACACAATTAGATCCACATTAGATCCACCCAGTTGAGAAAAAAAAAAGGTAGTGTCCTCGCTTTGGCAGCACATATGCTAAAATTGTAAAGATACAGAGATTAGCATGGCCCCTGCGTAAGGATGACGCGCAAATTCGTGAAGCATAAAAAAACAAAACAAGAAAAAAACGGTAGAAAGTTTACTGCATTTCTTTAAGAGGTGAGAAAGGCTTGGTAACACAAAATATCAAAAAGTGATGTGTGTCATATAGATTTAAGGTAATCTCTCTCTCTCTCTCTCTCTCTCTCTCTCTCTCTCTCTCTCTCTCTAAAGAGCTGATGTGTACCTTTAATCCCAGGACTCAGGATTAAGAGGTAGACGGATCTCTCTGAGTTCAAGGCCACCCAGGGCTACTGGAGATTGAATCAGTCTAAAAGAGTAACAGGTCACTCGCCTTTAATCCCAGGACTAGAGGGGTATAAAAGATAGAAGCAGGGTTACCCCAGTATCCACCTCTGGTTCATTGTTTTCAAGTTACAGTATCATGTGTCTATAATAATTATTTTAGTACATTTCTGACGGTTTTCATATGTTGCTTGTGTCAAAAGTTTTTATTTTTAAACAAACTGTGGCCACTTAAGTTCTCTTTTTAAATTCATTTTTGTTGTTTGCTAAAATTATTTTGTGGAATGGTCAATTAAAATGAATATGCAGATTCGAATTTAAAATCGCAAACACATGCCGGGCTGTGGTGGGGCACACCTTTAATCCCAGCACTCGGGAGGCAAAGGCAGGCAGATCTCTGTGAGTTCGAGGCCAGGCTGGACAGACAGCCTCCAAAACAATACAGAGAAACCCTGTGTCGTAAAAAACCAAAAAACCAAAAAACCAAAAAAACTCTTCAATATAGCCAGGTGGTGGCTTTAACCCCAGCGCTTGGGGAGCAGAGACAGTCAAATATCTGAGTTTGAAGTCAGCCTGGTCTACAGAGTGACTTTCGGGATACTCAGGGCTATATAGAAAAACCCTGTCTTGCAACAAAACAAAACACAAACTAAGGCTGTTAAATGTAAGCCTTCTTTATTAAGGCCAGACCTTCTATAAACTAATGGACATGTTTACTGAAGATGTCTATGCTGTTTCCTTTTCATAATGAGAATTATAGAAAATATAACTGTAGGGCTGGAGAGATGGCTCAGCCATTAAAGGCTAGACTCACAACAAAAATATAAGAGCATATAATCCTAATAAACAATGAAGCTCAAAATCTTGGTTTATTAAGCTATATTTTGAGCTGAATTGATGGCTCAGCAGTTAAGAGCACTGCCTTCTCTTCCAGACGACTTGGGTTCAATTCCCAGCACCCACATGGCAGCTCACAACTGTCTTTGACTCCAGTTCCAGAGGATCTGACAACCTCACACAGACATACATGCTGACAAAACACCAGTGCACATAAAATAAAAACAAATCATTAAAATATATCTTATGTATGATTATGTATATAAACTTTCTGTCTGCATGTGGTTATGTTTTATTTTTACATGATATACTTACTGCCAAATTGGCTTGTAAGTAAGAGCTTGTGTAAACTAAGCTGTTAACTTGGCTCAGCTTCATTTTGGCTCATAGAGAAATTAATTTAAGAAATAAAATAATGATAAAAGACAAAATGTGTATTTAATAAATGTGACCACACAGATAAAACAAATAGAGATGGGAAATGGTCCTAAATCTTTTGGGGGGAACAATTAATAGGAGTTTTTACGTTTAAACAATTTGAGTCTGCTCTTAAGGACATGATATCATGCAGTTGTGGTCCAGCTCTTATCTCCCTGACCCCTGTCCCACTTGGGATCTATAACATGCTGCTTATCAATGAACATTAAGAGGTGATTACTCCTAACACAGGACACCGCTTTCCTAATAGACAATGCCCTCCCTCGAGAGACGAAACTCTTTACTCGGAAGCTAAAGAGGGTAGGGGCTGAAGAGATGGCTCCAAAGGTTAAAAGTACTGGATGCTCTTCCAGAGGACACAGGTTCAACTCCCAGCTGCACATGATGGCTCACAACCATCTGTAACTCTAGTCCCTGCCTCTTGCGGCCTCTGCAGGAACTAGGAGCACACGCCACGCATACACATACCTGCAGGCAAAACACCCACACGTGTAAAATTGGTAAACTAGATACATACATTTAAAAAAGAAGGTAGCTCAAATCTCTTTTTTATATATGTGTGTATAGTACAAACATTTTAAAGATTTTAAGGATATTTTTGGTCTTTACTGCTTCTTTAAAAACAAACAAATGGCATGATGGTGGTGGCACACGCCTTTAGTCCCAGCACTCAGGAGGCAGAGGCAGGCAGATCTCTGTGAGTTCAAGTCCAGCCTGGTCTACAAGAGCTAGCTTTTCCAGAACAGGCTTCAAAGCTACACAGAGAAACCTGTCTCAAAAAGCCAAAAAAAAAAAAAAAAAAAAAAAAAAAAAAGAACAATTGAATTTTTCAAGATCCTTATTTTAGCTAGGCCTAGATAGGAGAAAACAAAGTATTTTTAAATTGTCATTTTAAAACCTTCTTTGAGGCTTAGACAGACATATTAGAGTTTTCTAGAATACCCTGATGTGTTAATTCTTTATCCAGTGTATAGAAGACATTAGTCACTAATAACAACAACATCCATGATGATGATGCTTTATAATATAACTTAAATATTTTTTCTTTTTTTGAGTTTTTCTTTTCTTCTTTCCTCTCTCTCTCTCCCTCCTTCCCTCCCTCTCCCTCTCTTCCTATCTCCCTATCTCTCTCTCTCTTTCTTTCTTTTTTTTTTTGAGACAGGGTTTCTCTGTGTAACAGCCATGGCCATCCTGAAACTCACTTTGTAGATCAGGCTGGCCTCAAACTCACAGAGATCCGCCTGCCTCTGCCTCCCGAGTGCTGGGATTAAAGGCGTGCGCCACCACCACCAGGCAAGAGAGAGTTTTTCAAGACAGAATTTCTCTATATAGATCTGGCTGTCCTGGAACTCAACTTGTAGACCAGGCTGGCCTCCAACCCTCTAGATCCTCCTGCCTCTGCTTCTGAGTATTGGAACTAAAGGCATGTGTCACCACACTTAACGAGTATTGATGTTTCTTGATGTAATCAGTGTCTAAAATCTCCTGCAGTAGAATTAGCTGGAAATAAAAATTAATTCACTTTTTTTTGTATTTTACTAATAAGAAAAGAGACAACAGTTCGGTGACTCCTACAGAAGTCCCAGCTCCAACCATTTGAATTTAAGTCGATCAAGTACAAAGAACTGTGTATACAGGAGAAACTAGTCAACTTCATTAAAAATGTGTAAATTTTGGTGATTTTAGAAGTGTTTCTTTCATCTGTAACCCCACTCCATTTGGTGTTTTTTTGTTTGTTTGTTTGTTTTTTTGTTTTGTTTTGCGAGACAGGGTTTCTCCATATTGTTTTGGAGGCTGCTGGTCCAGCCTGGCCTCGAACTCACAGAGATCCGTCTGCCTCTGCCTCCCAAGTGCTGGGAATAAAGGTGTGCGCCACCACCGCCTGGCTCCATTTGTTCTTAATTACTTAATTTTTAGGTACAGCAGTCTATATCACAGGTAAATGCTGTGTCAGACACAGAGGGTGTTAAAAAACAAATTGGATCCAGATCATGGTGGCTAGTATCCAGGAGTTTCTTTCTTAATGGTCTTTACCAGCTATTCCTCTCTCCTAAAGACTGCTGTCCTGCTCAGCATTCAGCTTCAGCTACCTCAGATCCTAGAAACCAGCCCCCTAACTATGAAGAACCTTAGAATACTTAATAAATAATATGTGGCCCCTGCATGAGCTAAATGTGATGCTTGGCCAACAGGGGGTACTGTGGACAAAGATTCCTAAAACGAAGCTGTGCCTGGCTGTGAACAAAGACCCTTGAAATGAAACTATGTCTGCAGACAGTGTTTGATTAGGATCTTGTTACTATGGAGAGACTGGAATTTTGTAGGTTCAGAAGGTAATTACCTTATCTTGGGCTAGTTCTAACCCTCTGCAACAGCCCTTTCTTGCTCACCTCTGTGTTGAAACTTACATCTTATAACTGGAGAGATAGAAACCTTTGGGACTCTATTAACTTAACAGACCACTGGCTTCTACCAATCCCAAAGCTAAGAATGTCATCAGATACATCTTGGGCCTATAGGAAAACTTCCCCCATCTCACTGTGCCTGTCTCCCTGAGACACTCACCAGTGTATTTTAAACTTACCTTGATTTATGACTTTCTTTGTTCTGTAAAACTATAAAACTTCATGAAACTGCTTCCATGTCGGAACATGGAACTTGAGGGCACCTAAATCTGTGTTCCCAGACCATGGTCACTCAAAATGGTCACAACAAAATAAGCTGATTATTCCCTTAGAACAGCGGGGAAGAGGAAGAAAACGGGGAAGAGGAGGAGGAGGAGAGGAGGGGGAGGAGAAGTCACCATGCTGTTCTTACAGGGGACTGGAGTTCCCAGCACCCACACCTGGGGGCTCAGAACCACCTGTAACTCCAGGTCCAGGGTATCTGATGCTCTCTTCTAGTCTCCAAGGACACCAGGCACACACACACACACCCATAATTAAGATTAAATTAATCTTTAGAAAATTTTGTTTGAAAATGTGCTTTTACTATTTCATTGTTTCAACTTTCACTAAGTTATGTTAGTAAGTGGGAAAATGGTCACTGGACACTTTAGAATGATGTTTTAGAATTAATTTGAAAGTTAGACATAAACACATGAAGGAAAATCCAGCCTTCTGATCTGCAGCTTTAATGCTGGGAATCTTATTATTTATTTATTATTATTGTCTGTGTCTCCATGGTGCAAGGGTACGCATGCCAAGGCATGTGTGTGGAGGTCAGGCAACTCTCAAGATTTGGTTTTTGTTTTGTTTTTTACCCACAGTGGTATCTAGGACTTGAACTCAGATAATCAAGTTAATTTGGCAAGCTTCTTCACCTTCTGAACCACCTCGACAGCCTAGGGACTTTTTTTTTTCTACTGAGACAGGGTTTTGCTGTGTAGTCCTAGCTGGCTGGTCACTATGTAGAACATGCTGGTCTCAGGCTTTTGGAGATCCACCTGCCTCTGCCCCCAAATTCTAGAAGATGTACACTACCACACCCAGCCTTT